CTCAGCCTCAGCCTCAGCCTGCCTCAGCATCAGCCCGCCTCAGCATCAGCCTCAGCCTGCCTCAGCCTCAGCCTCAGCCTGCTTCAGCCTCAGCCTCAGTCTACCTTCAGCCTCGGCCTCAGCCTCAGCCTGCCTCAACCTCAGCCTGCCTCAGCCTCAGCATCAGCCTGCCTCAGCATTCAAAATGTGGCCTGGGAATCGAGTTCTGGGAACTCGAAGAACGCGAAGTGCCCTACAGTTGGCTCCGGGCATTCAAAATCATTCCCAGGAATGGAGCACTGGGAACTCGAAGACCACGAAGTGGCCTGCAGTTGGCTCCGGGCATTCAAAATGTGGCCCAGGAGTGGAGTTCTGGGAACTCGAAAAACACGAAGTGGCCTACAGTTGGCTCCGGGCATTCAAAATGTGGCCCGGGAATCGACTTCTGGGAACTCGAAGAACACGAAATGGCCGACAGTTGGCTCCGGGCATTCAAAATCATGCCCAGAAATGGAGTTCTGGGACCTCGAAGACCACGGAATGTGCAACTGTTTGCTTAAATCGACTTCCGCGGCTTCTCCCCGGATCCTGCCTGGACCCCCCTGGGGCGTCAAGATGCTCTCATTTAACCCCACTAGAAACCTATCAGTCTTCGACGGTACAACGCAACGCGCCGGAATCGCTGCGACACCGGGCGCTCGCACCAGCAACTGCCAATTGTTTGACGCCGAACTGCCAACGAGGCGCCCACGCTGCCAATGAAGGCAAACACGCTTGGACAAGGGAAAATGCATCAGTATAGTGCGATGCTGGGCGAGTCCGCAAAGAAACCCTTGAGCCAGGAGGGGTAACTTGAGCCCCCTGAGCCAAGGGGGGGAGGGGCATTGGCAGCCCACTTTTCCAACACAATTCCCTGGCGAGTATTTTCACGACCCCCCCACGTAGAAGATGTCGATGTGTAAATCTGCCCGCGGAACCCGACCAGAAAAATCCCCTGTTGCACGAGCGGCCCCACCAACGTTCCTTCGAGAAGAAAACCTTCGCAACCAAGTGTGAACAATGATCCCGTCTGGCCGACGTGCTCTGTCCTGCTGCATGTCGAACGCTGTCCAGCAGCACGTCACAGCGATGTTGAAGGATTAGCCTACGTTAGTGCAAAGCTTCGCCCTCCCACTCAAGAGTCTCGTTGTTAACGCCGAATAGCAAATTCATACGTTCTAACTTCATCTGAGTTGCTTGCGCCATCCCTGCCACTTTTTCAAACATGTTATCCGAGGAGTTGGGGGGGGCATCTTGTTCGCCCCTGTGTTATCGTCGAATTCTGCCGTGTACTCGGGACCACGAACAAAATCTGATTGACTTGGTTCTTGCAGTACACGATCGCACACGTTTTCAAAATTCAGGAAATCGGCAAGTATGTATATTTGTTCAAGTCGCCCGACTCGCCCTGGCAAATCTCCGCGCCTCACCGCAAGGTGATATGTTGATCCGTTTCTCTCGACATACTCCACCCTGCGTTTTAAAACCGCCGCATCTGCGAAGATGCAAGTGACCTTGCCTTGCAATTATCGAAAAGCATTCTGAAGCACCAGCCCCTGCTTTCACTCTGGCCGATGGGGCATTCTTCGACGACCCAATGAATTAAACCCCCACCGCGCTACAACGCAACGCGCCGGAATCGCTGCGGCGCCGGGCGCTCGCACCGGCAACTGCCAATTGTTTGATACCGAACTGTCAACAAGGCGCCCACACTGCTAATGAAGGCAAACCTGCTTTGACAAGGGAGAATGCATCAGCATAATGCGACGCTGGGCGAGTCTGCAAAAAAAAACCCTTGGGCCAGGAGGGGCAACTTGAGCCCCTTGAGCCAAGGGGGAGAAGGGGGGGGGGGGGGGGGCGAACCCCCCCCCTTACAGCGCCAAGGGGGGGAAGGGGGGGGGGGCAGACCCCCCCCCCCCCTCAGGACCCCCCCCCCTAGAGGGGGAGGGGGGGGGGGGTTCTGCTACCCCCCCTTTAATGCATTCAGGGAGATCCACTGGCGCACTTCCCACAGTCCAAGCACGGCCTGCTTGCCCGACCGCAGCCGTTCGCCTGCACCCCCCTCTCGGCCCCGCAATGGCACCGACTTCTGCCTGGGCATTGACAGCATCGCCTAATGCAACGAGGTCGCCATCCAAATTTGCCGATCTCACGCGCTCGGATGATTTCGGTCTTTGCAGGGAAAAGCCCAATCACATTGCCCCAAATCTCCTGCGGCGGCTCCTCTCCTTCAGCCGGGGCCATTACTTGGCCCGGCGCCTCGGCGCCAGGTTCAGCGGCATCGGGCATGGGCGCGTCTGCAATCGTCGCACTTCCAACTGAGTCGGGAGCGGGCTCGCCTGCTGGTCTGACCCCACCTTCCCCCACATTGGCCCCCTGACGCGCCACCACACTCTCAAGCTCCCCGAAGGTGGCACAGGTGGGCGCGTCGATCGAAAGCCAGCTGGGGGCGCCTTAAATGACCTCTCCGCCATATGAGATGCCACCTGGCTTTCCATAGATGCAGGGGGATGCGGTGAAAAACCGATGGAGGCGTTTTGGCCTCCTCAGTCCCCTTCGGAACGCTGGGCATGCCAAGATTCTGTGGCGCGACAGGCCCTCAAGACCGCCGGCTGAGGCAGCTGCCGCTGGGTCGGAAGGCATCCCTGGGCCACCGGTTGAACCGGTAGCCAGGGACGCCGCAAGTGCCAACAGAGTCGCCCGTCATTCCCGCCGCTGGCGAGGCCGGAATCGGTTCTGACTGCCAGTTGAACCGGCAGCTGGGTCCGCCTTCGGTCTACTCCCAGCCTTCCAACGGTTCCTTTTGTTCCGTAACCTCCGCCAGTTTGCCACGCAAAGGATGACGGAAGCCAACAACTTTCCCCTTGGCGGTCAGTGATTCCCATATCACATCAAACCTAATATTGAGCGGGGAAGCTGAAGAGACAACCCGAACTTTTCCTGATCCATCGATACAGGCGAAATAGAAGCCCACACGCGTTGTTTTGTTCCCGCATATGTTCGACATTCTGCGGTCTTGCGAAATTATGCTCGAACCCCTCTCCTAGATGGAGGAGATGCCGGCTGATGGCAGAATTGCCGCCCGCCGCGTGAAATGCCGCCGGGGTCCCAGCATAAACGCAAACCTCCAAGAGCACAATATCCTGGGGAACCTGGTGGCACTTCTGCTTCCCGCCCGACGCCTTCAACGTCTTGGGAGGAGGAGCCGTGTAGATGACCCCCGCAAGTGCCACTGACCATCCGCACAAGTCTCCTCCGCCATGAAGTAATGATCAAAGGTGCTGTAAACCCCGACGCACCCATTCGTAACTCCACCCCAATTCTAAGGGGTCGGACGGGAGAAGCATATGACCCTCCACGATGGAGCGCAGGCTGTGGGCACAACACCCATGTGAGTATTTTGTCCAGCCTGCTTTGTCCGCCTCCCCCATGTTCTTTTCTGTGCCGGAAAACGAAAGTCCTCCGCTGTTGGCGCGGGGCCCTCCAGCGAGGACAAGCCTAGGCGGAGATACCGTCGACCGCCGAAGGCTGGAATGCCAGTCCGTGGAGAGCAGCCTCCAGCGCCGCCCAGCAGGTGAGGGCCGAGCAAGACCTGAGCCCCACCTTCATGGAATTACCGGCCGACGCCACCTGCACCACGTCGAACTGCTGTAACACCAGTCTCCATCAGCTGCGCAATCACCGTGTCGGGGGGCCCCAGAGTGGGAGACTGGGCCGCCGAGGCGTCGAGGTCGCTGTCGATGTCGCTGGCGTCCTCCCCCCGCCTCTGCGACGGTTCTTGTCCTGCCACCGCCGGCGCCACGCCTGGCGCTCCGGCAGCAGCGGGCGGAGCGACCCCTGGCGGCGCGGGAACGCCACCCAGGTGCAGAGCGGCAGCGGCCTGGGTGAGGCCAGAATCGGCGTCGCCCACGGTCGAGTCCGCAGCTGCTGCGGCCGGAGCTGCCGCGGTCGCCCAGCCGAAGTCCCGAGCAGGGCGGCGGGGCCGGCCACGCCTCGGGCCGCGCAGGCCCCGCAGCGCCTGGCCATGGCTGTGCTCGCGCAAGCAGGAACTGGAGATACCTCTCACTGCCTCGACCTTGCAGACGTGCTACAGCGGATTCTTACGTAGATTCCTCTCCATGCAAAACCCTTACACGGCGAGCGAAAAACGAAGTGAATTGAACGTGGGTATGTTTGCAGTCTTCGTTCCTGGCCAAAACGATCCACACGACATTCACTTCGAAATCCGGAACGAAGTTCTCCAGAACAATCCAGGCCCATCCAATTGTTTTCCTGAGGAAACTCGCTCTGCGATCTTGGCGCCATGATACCTCGGTTTACCCGTTTTATCGCCAGAACGGGGGAGGGGGAAGCGGCGCGCGCCGGGGGAAGCTGCTCATATTCTGTCCGAGCAGGCCCTTGAGCCGGAGCCTTGAGCCATTCTGAAGGACAGGAGCAAAGGAGCCAGAGCCGAGAGCTCCATTCTGAAGGACAGCAGCAAAGCCCCGATCGTGATACGAGGCCAACACTGCAGCGGGAGCACTTGTTTAGAAGGACCAAGAATGCTCGGATTAACAAAGCATGGAGAAAAAAAAAACAGCTCGGCACCTTCCTGTGCAAACAAAAACATAACGTGGAGGGAGGCGGGCTGCTCCCTGGCCATCTTCGGGGGAGAGAGGAGAGTAGTATGAATAGTGAGTGAGTGTTGAGAGGGGACGGACAATCGTTGGAGATATTGGTGGAAGAGAGACGGAAGGAGAGATGAAGGGACACGCGGGACGAGGTAGGGACGGAAGACGGAGGAGGGGCGGGAGGTGCGTTGGGGAGCGGGCGGGCGCTTGGCGGATGAGGGGAAAGGAGCGAGGGAATGAGCAAGGAGGCTAGTAGGAGGGAGGAAAGAGGACGACGACGACGACGACGACGACGACGACGACGACGACGACCACACCCACCAGGACGACAGGGCGGAGCGAGCGGGGAGAAGTGGAAGACAAGCGGGCGGCCTCGTCTTCATCGGGCTCGGGCATGGCATCGAAGCTCGCCTGCTCGAGCACGACGTGGCATGTGCTGCATGCGCACTCGCCCCCGCACGCTCCTCTGCCAGCTTGGAATCCGACGTCAACAATGTGAAACGAACAACTCATACTGGTGGATCAAGGTGGGGGGTCCTCTCGAAAGGACCTGAATCGCCACTTCGCGCGGCACTGTCGTCGAAAACGGGCACACTGCCGCGGGGTCCCCAAACGTTTCCTTCTCAATGGATTGGTGGCTATTGCGTGACTTATCTCTGGAGGCTGCCAGCGGCCTCCAGCGGCCCAAAAGGAGCCCAAAAACATCAAGAACATCGATCCTCGAACCCCGATCCTCGAGGAAAAAGGAGGCCTCCTGGAGGAGAAAGAGGAGAGGGGGTCCAGCTATGCTCGCAAGTGACTGGCCAGTTCCCAGCGGGGGGGATGCATCTGAGTTCGGGAGTTCCCGAATCCCACCAGCCATTTGGGCGCAGGTGGTCTAACGATGTCGTGATTTCCTCTTCTTAAAACCCCTTCCTCCCCTTCGGGAACGAGTGCCTCACTACTCCCTGAGAATATACACCCCCTCCCCGAGGCGACCGGCAGCCAACCAAGAACTATGCTCCCGCCACCCACCACCCCTGCCAAAAAACAATGCAAAACACATGTTGGGGCAAAGTCTGGAGTCATGTTCGTGAGGCCCGCGAGCAGTTGGCATTGTTTTTGACAGGGACGGCGGGGGTGTCAGCATGATGCCTGCTGTGCGCAGGGCTACCATCCCTGACAAAACACAATCTAAATACACCTCGCGGCTAAATCTGGACCGTGCGCGGCCACCCCGCGAACATTGTCAAGTGGTTTTTGACAGGGACGGCGGGGGTGGTGGCGCGTGGCCTGTTGTGCGCAAGCCCACCAAACACAATGATGGGCATTGGTGTTCGACACGGATGGTGGGGGCAGGCATGTTTCCCGATGTGTGCTGTCACGTACGAAGGCGCACCTGACACACTCTGCACGTGCCCCCGATCGTGGCGCACCTGACGCGACTGGAGTATGCGGCACGTCTGGCGCATGCGGAGGCACGTGGCGCATCTGGAGCTCCAGGCGTGCCTGGCACGCTCGGGCCCCAGGGGTGCCTGGCGCGCGTGGCGCGCCTGGCACGCGTGGCGCACCTCGCCCCAGCGTCGCGCACATGGGCTCGGATTTGATTCCCAGTAGCTGCCCATCCAAAGACGACCGCTGAACATGTTGAGGCTCGGTTGTTACTTATGTGTTGGGAGGGTGGGTGGGAGTGAGCTAGACGGCTTGCTATCTGGAGGGTGCCTTGATCATTGTTCCTTATTAATATACACCCCCTCCCCCACCTGGCTGGCGGCCAACCCAGAACCATGCCGACCCCATGCGGGCCCGCCCCCCACCATCCCTGTCAAAAAACAATACAAACCGCACTCCACCTCCACATTTGGAGCATGCGCGGCCAACCCGATGCGCCCCCCCACCATCCCTGTCCAAAACCACGCAAGGTATACCCTGGGGCAAAGTCTTGAATCATGCTCGTGAGGCCCGCGAACACTTTGTGATGTTTTTGACAGGGACGGCGGGGGTGTCAGCATATTGCCTGCTGCGCGCGGCACTACCATCCCTGACAAAACACAATCTAAGTACACCTCGCGGCTAAATCTGGATCATGCGCGGCCACCCCGCGATCACTGCCAAATGGTTTTTGACAGGGACGGCGGGGGTGGTGGCGCGTGGCCTGCTGTGCGCAAGCCCACCAAACCACAATGATGGGCATTGGTGTTCGACACGGATGGTGGGGGCAGGCATGTTTCCCGATGTGCGCTGTCACATACGCAGGCGCACCTGACACACTCTGCACGTGCCCCCGATCGTGGCGCACCTGACGCGACTGGAGTATGCGGCACGTCTGGCGCATGCGGAGGCACGTGGCGCATCTGGAGCTCCAGGCGTGCCTGGCACGCTTGGGCCCCAGGGGTGCCTGGCGCGCGTGGCGCGCCTGGCACGCGTGGCGCACCTCGCCCCAGCGTCGCGCACATGGGTTCGGCCTTGGTTCCCAGTAGCTGCCCATCCGAAGACGACCGCTGAACATGCTGAGGCTCGGTTGTTACTTGTGTGTTGGGAGGGCGGGTGGGAGTGAGCTAGACGGTTTGCTTTCTGGACACCACAGCATCCCCACCATCCTTGTCAAACCGCACTCGGCCTCCGCATTTGGAGCATGTGCGGCCAACCCGATGCGCCCCCCACCACCACCCCTGTCAAAACCACGCAAAATACACGCGGATGGGAGTGAACTAGACGGCATGCGGGCGGGTGGGTGGATTGATCACTGTTCCCTATTAATATACACCCCCTCCCCCAGGCAACTGGGGGCCAACCAAGGACAATGAGGGCCCCCCACCATCCCTTGTAAAAAACCTTACAAAACACACTCTGTCTCCAAATTCGGAGCATACGCAACGAACCCGATGCGCCCGCCCCCCCACCATCCCTATCATAAGCAATCATGCAAACTACACTTGGCGGCGGCGGCGGCTGCGGCGGCGGCTGCGGCGGGGGGCAGCGGCTGCGGCGGCTGCGGCGGTGGCGGTGGCGGTGGCGGCGACGGCGGGTGCGGCGGCGGCGGCGGCGGCGGCGGCGGCGGTGGCGGCGGCGGCGGCGGCGGCGGCGGCAGCGGCTGCGGCGGCAGCGGCTGCGGCGGCGGCGATTCGGCAGCGGGGGCGACGGCGGCGGCGGCGGCGACGGGTGGCGCGGCGGCGGCGGCGGACGGCGGCGGCGGCGGGCGGCGCGGCGGCGGCGGCGGAACGCGTCGGCGAGGCGGCACCGCGGCGGCGGCGGCGGCGGAGGCGGCGGCGGCGGCGGCGGATTCGCCCCCAGTAGCTGCCCATCCAAACACGACTGCTGAATATGCTGTGCCTCGGGCCAAGCTCGGGTGCTACGTATGTGTTGCGAGGGCGGGTGGAAGTGAGCGAGACGGCTTGCGGGCGGGGAGGGAGTCTTGACCCCTCCCCCTACCCCCTCCCCTCGACCTAGACGGGGGGGGGTCTCGAGGTGTCATCGCGTCCAAAATAGCCTGAGACAAGAGAGCCTCAGAGAGCCGACGATGACCCCCAAGATCACTCAATATAGCCCTACATGGTCCAAGATAGCTAACAACATGCCTCCACGAGGCCCCAAGAGGACGACAAGACGGTTCCAGGCGCGTTGGACACCTCTCAAGGCCTCCTGGATAAGTCAAAATCTGTTGTTTCTATAACAAAAACATGAGTTGACCCGTCTCCCCGTTTCGCTTCCGATGCGTTTCTGAGGGGTCAAGGTGGTCCCAAGATGGCCGATGAGCGTTCCAAGAGGGCCCCAAAGATGCCGCCAAAACAACCCGAAGACCGCCCAAGATCGCCCCAAAAGAGGCCCAAGAACGTCCCAAGAAGCTATGTTGATGGCCCCAGAGGCGGGACTAAACGGTAGGACCCCCCCTCTGTTCACCGACACCCTCCACGACAGCCCCAAGAGGCCCTGCAGGGCTCCCACGAGGGCCCCAAGAGAGCCCCAAGAGGGCCCCAAGAAGCCCCAACAGGCTCCAAGAGGCCCTCAAGAGGCCCCCAAGAAGTCGCCAAGAGGCCCAAAGAGGCTCCCCGAGGCACCTAAGAGGCTTTCAGCAAGTTCCCAAGAGACATCCGAAGAGACTCCGAGAGGCACCCAAGAGGCCTCTGGCCCTTCAGTTCGCTTTCCTCCTCCTCCGACTCCTCCTCTTCCTCCTCCTCCGCCTCCTCCGTTTCCTCCTCCTCCTCTGCCTCCTCCTCCTCTTCCTCCTCCTCATCCTCCTCCTCCTCCTCTTCCTCCTCCTCCTCCTCCTCCTTCTCCTCTTCATCCTCTTCCTCATCATCATCATCATCATCATCATCATCATCATCATCATCATCATCATCATCATCATCATCATCATCATCATCATCATCATCATCATCATCATCATCATCATCATCATCATCATCATCATCATCATCATCATCATCATCATCATCATCATCATCATCACCATCACCATCACCATCATCATCATCATCATCATCATCATCATCATGAACATCATCATCATCATCATCATCATCATCATCATCAACAACATCATCAACATCATCATCATCATCATCCTCATAAGCATCATCATCATTATTATCATCATACTCCTCTTCCTCATCATCAGCATCACCGTCATCATCACCATCCTCATCATCATCACCACCACCATCATCATCCTCATCATCATCAACACCACCAGTAGCATCCTCATCGTCACCATCATCATCAGCAGCAGCATCATCAGCATCAGCATCAGCATCAGCATCCGTATGTTCATCACCATATCCCGTCCCTCCTCCCCCTCCCCTTCCTCCTCATCCTCTTTCTCCTCCTCCTTCTCCTGCTCCTCCTCCTCGTCATCATCCTCCTCCCCCTCATCGTTATCACTTTCATCATCATCATCATCATCAGCATCATCATCATCATCATCATGATCATCAGCATCATCATCCTCATCATCATCAGCATCATCCTCACCATTATCATGCACCCCCTCCTCCTCATCCTCATGTGTCTTCTTCTCCCTCCTCCTCTTTTGGGGGCATGACGGTTTCCCCGGCCAACTGTTCCTCTGCATGCTCCCCCACTTCCCTCATCAAGGCTACTCGTCTGGGCATCGTTGTTGGATGGGCTGGTGGGGTTACTTTTTTGGGCCAGCGGCCTCATGAAGCGGGTCAAAAGGCGTCCAAACTCTAGCCAGGCCACGACTAGGCAGCAGAAAAGCGGAACGCGGAAAAGCAAGACAGGCGCAGAGAGGGGCCAGCGAAGCGAGCGCGCGGGCTGCCACTCATAAGTGCACCAGGAGCGGCACTCCCAACCTGGTGGCGTGGAAATCCCGGTGGCGACCATCAAATAGGCGCAGCCAGAATGGCGCGGCGGCGGCTGTGAACACGCAGAGGTCGATCACCCGTTGTGAGTCGGCATATGGCCCGGCGAAAACGAGCGGGTCCGACAGGCACTTCAGGGCGACATCCGTGCCGTAGGTGGC